ATTCCTGCTATTTTAATTTCCTAGTTGTTAATTCTTAGATACAAGTGATTCAAACACTAAGGAATATGTACTCTGTGCTATTGCATTCTGTCCTTCACTTCTATTAGTCTCTTACCAGTAACGTTTTTGTGTGACTTGGATTCATGTCTCAAGATCTGGTTGGATTTATTTTCATGTGTCTCATCAACACTAAGCTCATTGCTATTTGGCAGGACATTGCTGGAGGTCTTCTGTGGACTTTCAAGTTTCTCAGGAGTAACTGTCGTTGTCTGCAAGGTTTCATTAGCCAGGGAGACTGACCTCTTAGTGTCACAAGGGCTGGATGCTGACGTATCTTTTTGTAAGCTATATTTTGTTTTTATCTGTACAGCTGCTGAATAGGTTCCCAAAGGGTTTACAGCAGGAGTTTGCTTATTCTCAGCTGAATCTGATCTAACAGCTTCACTTCCACTACTCCTTGTTTCATCAGGCTCTAATAAATCAAACTCCCCTGCTTCTCTACTATGGTGTAGCTGTGGGCTTTGCAGAGGTTCTCCTTTACGCGTGCTAGATGAGAACCTCACTTGTTTCAGTTTTTCAAGTGAAATTTGTGTGGAGTCTTCCACTTCTGTAGGAGAGTTGTTCTCAGCTTCTCCTTCAAAAATAGTTGCAGTAGGAGGACCATTCTTTTTCTGAACATCTAACACCTGACTAGCACGAACTTCTGAATCAGTGGAACTGGAACTTGAACTGCGCTTCAGAATGCCCCTGGGTGGTGTCCCAGTGCCATTAATCCTTTCGCTCTGTTTGGCTGGCTTTGGAAGGAAGTCTTCTCTTTGTGACACAGGATCTGTTGCTTTGTGAATTAATTTTCTAGCTTTTGGGACAGGATGCTTAACTAGTTCTTTCTGTGATTCATCAGTAGGTTCCAGGGAAAGCCTCTTGTGCTTCTCTGTTTCTTTGTTTTCTAAGTTTGGTTTAGCTTGGCTCTCTTCTGAGAGTGACAAAATTTCTGTAAGATGTGTATAAAAAGACATCATGAGTTTATGTGACATTCATCTGGATAAACAGAGGGGTATGACAGTGCAGATCTAGATTATATAAGTTTTATACTAATTACAGTGATTATATTTATTAAAAACACCTATGGTAAAGCACAAGAAGAAATTCAACATAGGCGTTGACTTAATTTTTATGCAACACATGTTTTAAGAAGTAACTGCAGGGTTTTCTCTTATCTAGAAATATTAACTATTTGATCATTCCATAGATAGAGAGGACACCAAATATTCCTGTGTTATTCCTGCAGGGAAGGGCAGCTTTTGAATACACAGACCATAAACAGCAGCCTATAGAAATGAAAACAGGCTATTGCCACATTCATATAGAACAAGGTAGAATTCAGAAATAATCTCTTGGTAGGGAGATGATTTTTTTTTTTATTTTTTCTAATGTGCAAGTCTTAGTTTTTCCTGTTAGCAAGATTCATAACAGAGACAGGATATTATTTTCCATGTATGAGCCTGTAAATTACAACATCAAACGCCTGTAATGTGCTATGTCATCACCCATCTACTTGCTTGCAGAGAATACTGCAGGAAAGGGAGGATTCAGAATAAACAGGATGGAGAAAATAGAGATCAAAGAATTAGGCTTCTGAAGAAGTAATGAGAGTAAAACTAATTTCCATATAAACCACCAAGAAACTCAGTCATATGCTAAGCAGGTATATTTACCCTTCTTCGATAGCTGAGGTAGAGCGGCTGGTCTGTTTTCTGATTCTCCACTGTTCAAGTTGTCACCTGATGCAGTGGAATTAAAAGGATTTCTCCTTTGCTAAAAAAGGAATTAAATTTATAATTTCAATCAAATTGTTTTATCAGTACAGTCTTGACAAAATAAATTTAAGTGCAGTGATTTACACTTCCTCATTACACAGCTGGCAAAGAATCTGAAAGTAAGCCTCTGAAATTGGACAAAACGTAGACAACATGAACCAGGGAACTGTGAGAAATGCTAGTGATAGCCTCATCTTGTTCTCTCTGAAGACACCAATAGCAGAGCTAAGCCACCACTTAAAGCTACTTGAAAATCCCAAGTTGTTGCAAGTTAAATAACTTTATGATTAATTCTGAGACTTCAGAAATACTGGAACACAGCTGGACAATCCTTTTCAGTGGTTGAAGAAGGTGGAATTCACGTCAAGCACAGACAGCCTCTGACTAGAGATGTAACAGAAATTTTAGGGCTTTACATTATCTCTCTACAAACCAAAAAATATTCATTCATTTCAAATTATTATCTTTCTTCCTCCAATCTTTAGTTACCTTTATCACTAAGGCAAAGAAACACATAATAAAAGTAAAAGATAACTTCTGCTATATTCAATACCGATCATACCTTCACTGGTGAGATTGCTGCCTTTGTAGGTCTTTCCTCTGGTTTATCTAACACAGACATTATTAGTTTAGAACTGCAAAGAAAAAGCATATAACAACTTCAGCAATCAGGTTGTTAAGCCTTTCTGAAAAAGCAAAATCAAGATATGTTTGTACATACTTGAATATAAACTCTTAGCATGTAAAATTTTCTATTTAGCCTGTTCTCACCAGATTTAGAAGCAAACCTTCTCCCTTCTGTAGTAAGGGGATATTCTTGATGCTTTCTTTCCTTACAAAAAATTGTTTGCTTTTTAAGAAATCAATGCAACTTCTCCTTGGCATGACAGAAACTATATTTTTTGTTATCTTTTAGATTTTTGAGCACCCTGTGTAAATATGGCCACTGTCCAAACAATATCAGTTGTCCTACATTTATAGTTCTAGGACTGAAATCAAAGTGGAGGGAAGAGTTGATGAAAACAGAGTTTTGCAAAATCTCCAAGTCAGAAAATTCTGAGGAATCTCATCACCACTATAGCAGGGAGGTCAGATCCTGACAGTCAATGGTCCTTGACCATTCCATGATTCTATGATAGCAAAGATGTGACATGCTACAGACAACAACACATCCCCTCAGACATGCAGTTTATAACCTATTCTTTCAATTAATATTTCTAGATAAGGAGAAATTAAAAGAGCTAGAAGAGACAGTTCCTACATTGTATCAATAAATATTCCATCTATTTGCAGAATGATGCAAGGAATTTTTTATTTTAAAAGAATGATATTTTTATAATTTGAGTTTATCTAAAAACATCCCAGATATGACAAAGCATTTGTTCTTTAAAGATGAAAGTCAGAAGTGGATTTAAGTATAAGTACCACATTCAGTACTTCAACTTTATATAGCCAATGCTGACATTAATGAACTTACATGCTTATGATTTTGGGGATGGGGGAAATAGTATAAGACAGGAATAAAGAATATTCTCCAAGTAGGAAGAATAACCTCATTTTAAACAAGGAAAATACTGTTACATACCCTGGGCTGCAAGAAACCTTTAAGACATTATTTGGTCTGCAGTTTTTACAGGTGGAGAGGTAAATTTAAGTCTCATTGAGCACATATACACAATCCCAAAATACTTTAATGCAATGCTAATTCAGAGTTACTATAGAAAAATTAAAGAGTTGTTAATTTGGCATTACATACTGAAAACCCTGCTGTAAAGAAAACATAAGGTAGATGAAAAAAACAAACCAAACAAAACAAAACCAAAAAACAACCCACACCCAGGATCCTGTAACTGAGTTTCACAACAAAGGGTCTGAAAATACCAGTTTACCCTCAACTCATACAGATGGGAAAATTAAACCAAGTTTCCAGATACGCTACATTCACAAGGCTAATCTAGGATTATGTATGAAGCCAAGCTGATAAATACACCCAGGTTAAAAAGAATTTCCACACTGCAGTTCAGCAAAACAAAGTGCTGAGAACCACAGCAAAGGGCCAAACACACTACAGAATGAACAGCGCTGGACAGGAACCAAGAGGCAAAAAGGCAAAGGCAGGCACAAGGCAGGAGAAAAGGGTTATAGATTTGCAGGCATTGTCAATACAGTCTACTCAGAACTATCCTCCCATCAAACAACTAAGCTTTCCTGGACTCATCCTGAAGGGTAAAGAATCTGGTGTGAGAAAAGCTAGTGTGATTTAACAGTACTCTAAAAAATGTCCTTATCGACATATCCCAGCACCCATATTATTTCAGAAAAGGTACATGATTTTAAGAATTAGGGCTTTCATGCAAAATTTCACTTTGCAGAACTCTAGGACATACACTCATCACCTGTTCAATGTAGGCTAAGATAATTTTCTAGCCTAGAGAAGAAAACAACCTACAAATCTTGATTTGAAAGATAAAAGCCCTGAACATTGCCCTTCTTTGAGATTCAACATATAGACAGATGGTATCACAGAACAGATATAATATTGACAGTCTGAGTCACTCCATCAAAACTTGTTCTGTGCAAGGTTACACCTTCAAAGACACTCCACACACCTGGCTCTAGTATGCAAGAGAAGTATCACAGTGATATAACACCCAAGAAAAAAAAGTACCTCATAGTTTCGTTACTGAATTCAGGTATTAGGGATGTGGGGATGAAGTTCACCACACTAACTTTAGGAGTATAGTTTTGGCTGATTTCTGTTCCACCTAATATAGCAGCAGAGGTTGAACTGACCCCAGGGCTGGATTTGACCCTCAGCAGTTTACAGACAGATCTAACAGACCTGAACTTTCTTCACATTACATAAGAATTGTTTTGGTTTAAGAACAGGACACAGAACAAAAAGGGTCTGTGTAATTTGTTATTGTATATATTCTGGTCCCAATCCTCAGGTTAACAGTTGTTCAGTTTATGCAAAACCTGCTAGCCAGAGCTGGCTTGAAGCCTGCTCTTGGAGGAAGAAGGGGGGAAAAAACCTCAACTCTTAAAACCTGAAGCTCTCAGAAACTTACCATTAACAGAGGACTTGAAAAGGTTCCAAGTGTCTGAACCGCATGTAGCACTTGGACACTAGAAGCTATTAATTCACTTTATACAATCCTAAGCTCCAGAACAATACCCAGTTTCATCCTCTTAGTTGTGGCCATGTTGAGACTCTTGCCTTGCAAGAGGAAGAGTCAACAGAAACTAATTCCTTGTGGCTCTGCTATCCTAACAACCAAATTAAATGTTTGTAGAGTCCAGGCTTTCCTTTCCCACCCCAACTGTAGGGTTACTGGTTTCCCAGCATTGTTTGCCCTCAATTCCTGACCAGCTGCTGCCATTAGAGAGGCCCACAGCCCTGTCAGACCATCTCCTCTCGAAGTTCAACATGAACAAGGCATACAGATTAATTCCTGGCACATTTTGGAGCAAAGGGCAAGAGAAATATATTCTAAAATATATAATAAACTGTCTTCTGCTGTCCTTAAAAAATATCTTGTGCTGTCCTTAAAAAATAACTCCACAACAATCTCCTGAAGGTAAGAGGCACCTGTGAAAAGATTACATTCAGTAACAACTAACTTAGTCAGCATTACCAGCCAACTTGGGAGGGGGAGCTAACCAACCTTGATCATCCTTAATGTGCAACTTCATTTTTTGGGTAGTCTGTAACAAGGCAGTTTATTTGACCTTTTTCAGTATGATTTCACATGTGGGTAAGACAGATACACCTCTGAGTCCATTGATAATGAAACATAAAGAATAATAAAGACAATTAATGCAAGCCAGAGTTAAGACTTACACCAACCTTTGGTGCCATTCATCATGAGTGTCTGTGCTCAGCTTGCAAACCACGAAAGTGAAAGATGAAACTGCTACTAGATATTGTAAAAATGCATAGTAGGAGACAAGCCTTGCTGCAAAGAAAAAACAGATGACAGACAGAGAAGGACTTAGAAGATAGACAAGAAAATGAAATGTTGCAGAGCTGATTGGTGACACAACCAGAAGTAAAAGAGTCAACCTAAGAAGTAACTCTGGCTCTCACTTCACTCCATTCACTGAAGGCACAAACAATAGTTATCTGTCTTAGACCCTGGTTCTTGTCTCCTCAATGCTGTCAAGTCATCTAGCTATTAAAGACATTTCATTTCTACCCACTGTCACCCTAGCTAGAAGATCAGCACTTCCCTCTTTGAATGAAGGTTTATTGAAAGCTCTTTATTCAGCAAATTAATTTCTATTTAAAACATCTACATGTAGTAGACATTTCTCTCTCAAAAATAAATTCAGGATACTTCAAAACAATATGGATCTGTTTAGGATCACACTATCTGTTTGACAGAGCGATTTAATACAAAATCCTCTGTAGTTCAGAAACTCATGCAACAACTATAGCCATTCAGGCACACCCAAACTGACCATATTGTCCTACTCTGAAAGAAAGCCTCTCTCATCCAGAAAGACATTTATCTTTTTTGGTAGAACCATATTTGTTTTTCACAAGTATTTAAAGATTCTGGTTCTTTCCACCTCAAATTTGGTCTCTCAAAAAAAAGCAGTGTCTCAGATGTCTTAAACTGTGCACCCAAAAATCTGGAAAATTCTAAACAGCAGTTTCTCAACCTTTGTTTCTTCATATGATCCAGGTTTAAAATTCAGGCTGAATCAATAGTCTGGTCTCATTGAGTGACTGAATGAAGAGATGCAGAAGTTATTATCCCTACATTAGTAACTGCAGAGGATTGGTTGTGGCCAGTCATTCTAACCAGAAAATCCTGGTCTCACTTCAGGGAGCCAAATTAAATTGTAACTTGAGAACACATGTGGGACCATTCTGTACACCATTGACAACTTTTTCCTCTGTAGAGATAAGCCAAAGATTGTTCTGCATTTGAATGCAGAGCAATTAACAATGCATGACTATCATTTTTCAACCTTGGGTGATTCTGAGGAAACATATAATATTTGAAAAAAGAGGAAAGTATAATATTTTGGATAGAACTTACAGCTCAAGTTCCACCAGTCCTGCTGTATACATACTACGTGTGATTAAACAGTTTACCTTGAACTAGATTTCAGTTGCTCTTCTTCTTGATGTTCCACAATGCCATGTAGTTCTGGTGGCACAAAGACTTCTTTATGAACATTGCTCACCCAGCTGTTCTTTGGTTTGTTTGATTTGTTCTGACTCACTTCAGCTAAAACATGAAACCAGAATATTGTTATCTCTCATATGTTCATACAGAATTTTAAGAATCAAATACAAGTATGTGCATTCAGTCCTACAGTTATTTCAGAAGCCCACTGTACTTGAATTGTGTACAGAAGCAGATCTGGTGTGTTCTAGAGAATAACTTTTTTTGATGGCACTAGAAATATCACATACATCTGCTTTAGACCTTAAAGTGTGTCCTGGTTTGAGCCAGGATTAAGCCAATTTTTCTTTTACTGATTTTTTTCCTTCAGTAAGCTTTCTTGTAACTAGCAACAGTGTGTTCTGCTAGGCTGATAAGACAGTGGAATGTTTTTCTAACTACTGAGGCTTCAAGGCTGCACCTGCACTCTGCCAGCTCAGACACTATGGGGAGATCTGTGACCCCCCCGTTAGGAGGCTGAGTTAGATGGACAGCAAAATTGGCCAAAGATATTCCATTCCATATATCTATGTAAGCTCAGAGGAAGGTCAGAGATCACGGAAGACAACTTCCTTCCTTCTTTTTTTTTCCTTTTTCTTCCGTCCATGGCCGGCGTCCAGGGAGGACTCTGTTCATCCATCACTGTCGACCCTTAGGCTTGATCTCTCGTGACCCCCATAACTCTCTGCTCTGTTCCAGCAGCAGCTCCGGGATTCCTCGGGACTCTTCCCAGTTCAGGGAAGTGCTGTGGGAGTTGCTGGGGTGGGGGGAGGCGAGAGGATTTTGCCCATACCTGAATATATCTGTATATAATTGTATATATTTTCTTGTATCATTCATTAGTGTTTTAATTAAAGCTGTGTAGTTTAGTTTTCAATCCAGCCAAGTCTCTCTCTTTTTCTCTCTCTCCTTCCCTACCTGGGTTGGGGGGAGGGGGGATCGAGAGCATTGTTGTCGGACCTGAGTCAAACTGTGACAAAGTGATCCTAAATAGAGAGGTTTTCTAAAACAAACCTGCTACAGACTGATCCTATAATTCTTGCAGTGAGAAAAAAATCAGAAATTCAACCTCTGTGTCCTGAGGAAACCAAAACAATTAAACCATAGGAAACTGAAAATATGCTGAAGGTCAGTTAATCAAGTCAATAATTCACTTCCTACAGCAGTAACTTGGAAGTTGGCCACAACTTATTTAAGCATATGGTTAATTCTTTATGGATAAATACCACAAGAAGTTACGGTAAGTATTAAAAAACAGCAACAAACAAACAAAAAACAAGCAAAAAGGCCCATTCATTCAGCAAATGCAAATACACTTGCATTTCTTTTGGGGGTGGGACAGGATGCTATCATAACCTCTTTCAGAGTCAAAACACTAGTTTACATTACTTCCTCTACCTCTTTTTTGCACTTGTTTAGAAATGAAGAATTTTTTAGTGTGCAAAAATAAGGAAGATTTTTATTCTCCCTTTTTGCTATCCATAACTGCAGGTAAAATATCTTATGAGTCACCGAAACCAAGCAATTGCACATAGTTCTCAATGTACTAGCATGCCTCTTTGTTCAAATAATAAGACTGTTAGTAATTAACCTTCCTTTCAGATATTATTACTTTAAGCACTTTGCTATAAACTATAACTTGCTGTAAAATTTAGCTGCAATTTTACCAGCTGATTTTAAAACCTTCAAGTCTAAAACCAGCCAAAACCACAAACACACTGCACTAACCACCTGTAAATTTTCTGCATTCTTTTCTGTTTCAGGCCTTTTCTTGGTAACTTAAAAAGCCAAAACCTTCACACAGTAACCTCAGACTGACTAAACTGCCATTATCCAAACTTATCTCAGGGAATACAGGGATTGAGAAGGTGTAACACTGTAGGATTACTCATGGGAAAACAAGGCTAAATTCTAGTTACCAAACCCTATAGAAAGTAGAAAACTGTAATCCATCCAGACTATCAACAGAAGTACCTAACTTGCTTCACTAGCATAAATCAAAATCCTTCATAGAACTTAAAAAAATAAATATTACAAATTTCAGTACAATCTAGTGAGAATAATAAAAGCTTTGCCTTCCTAAATCAAAAGGATTAAGTAGAACTAGAGGAGGTTAAGAGGGGGTGGGAATCAATTTCTCTAAGAAAACAATAATACCCCATACAAAGAATGACAACATAATGAGGACTCTTCAGATCAGAAGGTCAGATGCTGAAATATTTATAGCAGAAGTCTATAGAATCCTATATACTGTATTATGTGTATATTTTGTGACTAGAGATCGACTGTTCACTTTCTGTCCAAGGGATTATGCTAATAGTGATAAATTCAAAACCAGAAAAGGAAATGGCCACTTCTTGTGTGGAAAGCCTTCAATTCAATATGCCTGGAGACAGGACATGGTGAATGCTAAAGAAGCATGGCTTTACAGAACTTCTTGAACAAATTAATGAGGAAAAAATAATCCAGAAATACCTCCTCTATTTCATAAATGTCTGAGGTGCAATTGGCTGCAGACTGGTCTTGGTCTTAGAGCCTACAAATGCTGCCAGGCATTCTCAGAGGAAGGGTGCTGGGGAGATGAGCTTTTGGTTTGGTCCCGTAGAGCAGCTCTTCCATTCTACTCTTTAGTTTTGCTTCTCTCCAAACAAAACACTATACTTACTTCTGATGTTAAACAGCATAGTATCTTCCCACATTCTGATTTTTTAAAATAAGTTTTATAATATATTTATTATCAAGTGAACACCAAGCTTGCCAACATTACATGAACAGAGCTGGCTTTAGCATATATTTCTGATAGATCATTTGAGGGCACCCACCACGATCTGGGGGATGGTGGGTGCATTTTAAGTTCATGTGGACACAGGATGCCAGTTCTAGCTGCCAGAGGTGCCAGCACATATATTCTAGTAGTTAGAACAACTATCTGTAGCTCATAGTGCCTACCATTAAGTCTCAGAGGTTCCAAACTGAACACCCCAAATCTTGGCAATCCATGAGGAAGAGCAATTGCCTTAATTCCTGATTCTTTGCATATTCCCAGGTAGATCACAGGGTCTCAAAAATGGAAATAACATAGTACAGGAATGCAGAGGACTTTTAGTCATAACACATAAACTCAAGTCAGTCCCTCTTGTTAGAGAGGGAATTATCTACATGGAATTATCTCTTCAATATATATCCTAGTTTTAGCCAGGATGAAGCCAATTTTCCTTTTACTGATTTTTTTTTCCTTTTTTTTTTTTTCCTTCAGTGAGCTCTCTTTTAACCAGCAGCAAGTGTTCCAGCTAGTAATAAACTGGAATGTTTATGTTACTGCTGAGATGCAGAAGTCACTTTGCTCTATCCCATGAATCTGCAGCATAGATACTACAGGGAGCAGAAGAGTCTTGCCTACAACCCCCTGTGGAGAGGAGTGGGCTAGACAGACAGCAAAACCGACCCAAGTATTCCATTCCATATATCTGTGTAAGCTCAGAGGAAGGTCAGAGATCACAGAAGACAACAACTTCCTTCCTGCTTCTTCCCTCCTCTTCCATCCATGGCCAGTGACCAGGAAGGACTCTATCTGTGCATCACCATTGATCCCCAGGCTCGTGTGTTCCTGACTCTCATCACTCTCCCCTCAGCTCCTGTCTGCTCTGCCCTCTCTCCAGCAGCTCCGGGACAATTCAGGGCTGCTCACAGCTCAGGAGATGCTGGGGAGTTGCTGGGGGTGGGGGGAGGCAATAGGGTTTTGCACATTCCTGAACATACTTGTATATAATTGTAAACATTTTCTTTTATCATTAGTGTTTAATTAAAGCTGTCTGGTTTAGTCTTCAATCCAGAAAGTCTCTCTCCCTTTAATCTCTCTTCTTTCCCTGGGAGGGAAAGGGGATCAGGAGCATTGTTGTCGCTGGTTTAGTTGCCGATCCTGAGTCAAACCGTGACAATACATAGGAGAGGAAAGCTTACACTGTGCGCTACGTTGGAAATATCTATTTTGCACAGTTTTCTCCTTGTAGACATACCAATATTATTCTTGCGTTTCACAGACAACAGGTTAGCTGAAGTGAGAGCCAGCCTTTCCAAAATGAAATATAAATGGAATGCTTACCAAGAGTGGCAGGCTTCCGTCGCATGGAAGCTCTAATAATATCTGCTCCATGTATCTTGTCTCTGTGCCTCTTTGACTTTGCTTCATAAAACCACTGTCCAGTCATATTCTTTAGCTGAACATCATCCTTGACTTTTTCTGGTAAATGCCTGGGGAGGAAAATAAAAATAAAATAAGATACATGCACAACCTACTTACCTGTGTGAACAGAAGTCAGGTTTTTAGTTGGTTGGTTGGTTTGGTGTGTTTGTGTGGGGTATGGTGTTTAGTTGTTGGGTGTTTTTGAACAGTCTCAGCATGTAATTGCCATCTTCTGACCTGTTACTCTACTTATTTAATTATGAAGGATGACAATGAGCTAGAAAAGCCTCAGCCCTGTTACCCTTAAAGATTCAGTTGAAGTACTTCTTCGCAAAAAATGTGCTTTGCTGTGATAAACTCTCAAGCAGATGAGAAGTCTCCAGTACCTGTAGAACTTGATTTCTTGCCTCCAAAGGCCAGTTTTCCAAGGTTAAAAATGAGCTAAACTAGCAGGGCAGCATAAGAAATCTGTGCCAAAATTAAATCCATGGCTGTTTTGGGGCCCAGAAGATACCTGTTCATATGACACCACTTTTACACACACATTCCAAAAGTGCACTGGAAAGATGGTGCTAATTTTTCCCCAGGATACACAAAAATCCCTTCAGGAGTACAATGAGTTCCAAAGGAAGGGAGCATCACATGGAAGAAACAACAAAATAAACTTCTGCAGTTTAGCAATCTACACATATCCATTAGAAGAACTGCAGTCATTTTAAATACTGTGTAGCAAATTTTTAATAATTTGATTTCAGGCCTCAGGGTTACCCTGTTTTAATGAAGCATACATCAACAGAATAAAGAGTTGCTGTGTGCAATTTGAGAGGTTGTGTATTCTTTCCTCATTAGGAATATAACACTTTAGGCATATGTATTATTATATATATTATACATGGCCTGGAGACCAACCTGCACTACAAAGATTTAGAGAGTACTTAATCAAAAAAAGTTAAGTCAGGCTTAATCTGCCTTCTCTATTTATGTCCTTTCCTTCAGCAAACAAGCTAATAAGAGAGCAAAAGGGAGAAATCAAAACAAAACAAGTTACTCAAAGACTTTAAGGCTAAACACAGTCCACATTGCTGTGGGATCTTCCTCAGTCCTGATGGCCAGTCATAGGACAGTTTGGGTTGGAAGGGACCTGTAAAGGTTATCTAATCCACCCCCAATAAGGTACATCCCAGTTTTATATTGCTCGTGAGTTTAGGAGAAGGAACTTCTAGGTGCAATCAAGTATCTATGATGACAGTCCTTTTATTATAGGTTGCAGATTTGACTGTCAAGTACAGATAAGGATTCACAGCAGAGAAAGGACACTGAGCCAGTTCCAACCTGCACACTAAGATAGGCCATTCTCACCTATCACTCAACTTCTGCTTCATGCTTTAATGGCCAGAAATGAAAAGAGTTATTTGAATGCATAAGCTATATTTGAATTTTAATACCTAAACTGCTTTTTGAAAGTACTGTCAACAGTCAGTCCCTCCTAGGTGTGTAAATAACTTCTCTGTCTCAAATCATATACATAGAGTTGAGGCTGCCAGAAGCTGAGGTCACTATTAGCATTTTTAATGCCAAGATTCAACAGTCCATAGTACTACTGGACCATTTCAAATTTGGCCCTCCCTCTTGCTTATAATTGTGCTTCTCTAAGAGCCCAAATACACACTTCCCACATGCTGCAAGCCCTCTAAGATGGAGCAGGAACTCAGCAGTAGCTTCCTTCTCTCCACAGGCAAATACATTTCTGAGGTATGAGGCAGCTCCTCATTGCTCAGCCAGTTTATGAACACAGCCGGCAGGAATCGTGGAAATATGGCACGCCAAGAACTTTTTACACAGATGATTGCTTCTCCCTTTCACCTTCTTTCCCTTGTGTTATTTGCCTTCTCAGAACAGATGTTCCTTAGGGCGAGGGACTGGCTTTTCAGCTGTATGTACAGCCTGCAGGGCAGCAGAGCTCTGACCCCAGCTAGTGCTTTGGGGCAGTATGACAAACACATGCCAAGGGAGGTTCTCTAATGGGGAAGATACTGAGTCACAGGACAAATATTCAATGCCCTCAACCCTGTTTGATTTAACCCTTTCAACCCAGACACTGCTCACTCCTTTCCCCTTCATATTCAGCCACTGAAACTACGGTGTGGTAGGAGACCTTTACAAGTCAGCTCAGACCTGTGGACATGAACAGGATCCCAGACCTCTCAGCTGTGTCAGCCTGCTCACTTGCTTGGTGGACTCCGATCTATGACCAGTTAACATAACATAAGCAGGACAGACACATGGATTTGTCATGGTCACCCATGACCAATACAGCTGTCATTTTGCCTGAAAGAGAATGTCAGGCACCTTGGTCCCAGACCTGCTTACTGTCTATGGAAGTTAAGTGTACTTTTAGTCCAACAGCTCAACAGGCCTCCTAAACCTCAGGATATAATTATCTTGTTAACAAAGGTATAAACGTGCTGTCAATTTACCCAGTACTTCCTTTACAAATGACCAGTCTGGCTGATAGGGCTTACATGGCAAGAAGTGACAGAAGCTCACAGCAGCTGACCTACAAACTACTTCTTTTCCCTTCTCTTCCCACCTCAATAGCACCTTTGTTAGCTTGGCTTACTCTTCAAGATAAGTATTTAGCCTTTATATCCCACCTTTTGAGGAACTAAGAGCAAAACAAATATTAGAGCCATTCCCAGGCATTCCCCAACCACAAATAAAGAAGCAGATTTCCATTATCAGAAAGACTATTAGTTCTAATTCTTGGCAGGGAAAAAAAAGCCTGAGTTCACCAGCACATCATAAACTTGTTGCAAAAACAGCTGCTGATGCTATGGGAATTTTTTCAATGCTACTTGAATTCTCAAGCTCTGCTATGAGCTGGCCTTACCAGTAATAGCAAATTGCTTGCACTGCATGGGCCTGTTTGACTGCTAGGCATTAGATTTTAATTGTGGTTTACCTTGAAAGGAATTGTGAAGAAATCAGAGTGCAGCCATGGTTCTCCACTGCTACGTATGTCTCCCAGCACACCACAACAGGATCAGAAGCCAACAGTTGATTCTGTGTCAGCTCTCCAGTCAACAGAAAGGCTAACCAAGATATCATTACATTATTTTCATCTTGGTAACCAAAGAAACAGTAGGCCTGAGTAAGATTCAGATTGCAGGCTCAGATGCCAAGTTTGTAATTAGGAGGAGATGCAATAATGGCTTTCCATATGATATAAGCATGTATTCTGGAGTCAAATAAAATGTCAGTTAGCCTATGTTGCAGTTTTCAGAGTGAAACAGCTTAAAGTTATAATAAAACTAGTTCCTGTCTCTTCTATAGGAATATTAAACTCAAGAAAATGAAGGAACATAGTTAAAAGGAATTCACTCTAAACCCCTCTTTTAAAATAAGCCTGAGTTCCTCCATTACTTAGTATGATTTTTCCACAATGCCTCAATGAAACAATTTTGATGGCAAGATGACAAATTTTTCATCCTGCTAGTGCATGAAGTACATGCAGAATCACACAGAATGGGCATACAAAGCAACTGCCCAGCACTCTGCAAGAAAACAGAAAAACTTGTAGCAGTGGGGTTATTTCTCTTCACCTCCAGAATATCTGACAGTGGGCTAGATCACATGGCACCACTGTAAGGCAGGAAATCTGCTCTGATATAATCAGCCCCTGTCAACCTTCCTATCAGCAAACTCAGAATGGTTTATCTTATGCTTTATAGCTAGTGTATTAGCTCATTGCACATTAGGGTGAAGTGATAATGACTTCTATCTCATTTTTGAAATAACCTTTTCAACAGAAACATCTAGCAAAACATACCTGTCTCTAAAACTGTTCAGCTGCACCTCCTCAGTGCCTCTTGATTCCTCTCCCCTTATTCATAGTTTGTATTTCCAACCAATTTGAAAGATGTGGCAATTGACTTCTGACTAACTTATTTTATTGCCTTATTCCTCAATCAACAGCTTAAACTGTGCATTTCAGCCAGGAAAGTGTGTGAAGCCAGCACATTCTGGGACTTCCTGGGACCAAATAAGAAGCAGTTAAATTAGGGTCTTGGGCTCAAAGAGACGGATTCATTAGTGTCTCACACTCCCTTATCAGAACATATAGAAAAAGCACCCCAGTGACTGGTGGCAAAATAAAACCTTTTTAAATGCTGATACCACCACCTTATCTGCAATTTCACTTCCAAAAAATCCCTCCTGCAAATGAAATACCAAACAAGTGGAGAAGGTGCAAGGAGAGAGAATTTTGAGGGATGTATCCTCAATCAGATTTGCTGCAAGCATAACAACAAAGTTCAAACCAACAAAAAAGTGACAAAGGGTTTAAGTTTTGGGTCACCTTTTGAACACAGACAACATGAACTTTTTGTACTGCCACTCAAGCAAGAACAAGAGTAAAAGGATATTAGACAAGGCATTAGAGACTGTAAAACAGTCATAAAAGGTTTATAAGGCAAAAGGAATGATTGTTTAAACATTGCACTTTGCAGAAGCATGACTCTAGTCTGCACATACCTAGATAAGGTGTAGGAAAAAAGTCTATTCTGGTATTTGTTACAGAACTACACCCAAGACATTTATAACAGGCAGTCCCAGATTGAGAATATGGATTATTCCTTTTGCATGATAGCTACATAATGAGATTTTTTTAAAAATCCATTACTATATGATTTGTTTAAGCAATAAAGCAATATAATTTTAAACTGGTTGAGGGCTATGGTAGGAACAATAAAGTAAACCAGTGGGGTTATGCAACCTTTTCCCATCCTTGTCACCATGATACCTCATCAGCAACACCTCTTTAATCCTTGCCTTTAGGGTCTCTTTGGATAGTGAGGTTTTGGGTAGGTAGAAGGAGGTGGAGACACGAGAGAAAGGAAGCCAGTTCTGTTTGTAGTAATGCATGTTCTTTCCTTTTATGCCTATTCAGAAGCCTGGGTGTATTAGGTCTACTAACAATACCCTGATGAATTAATCTCACACAGCATCTTGGTTTTGGATCCTTGGAGAACTAACTGGGCTGTGACTAACAAGACAAACTGAAATTTAT